GATCATGGCGACTTATTGTAGTGATCGAAAAGAGCGCGCGAAAATAAATTTTAATCAGCTCATGGCTAATCATCCATATTCCACACCACAATACGTCATGCGCGAACTCGTATCATGTATTATATCTCAAAGTTGACAACAACGAATATATGATTACATCATTCAACGGCAGCATCATAAAATGCGGATCAATCAAAGGCGGAGAGTGATAAAACACAACGGTTCTGTTAACTCAGTTAATTTATAAAATATTAATTATATAAGATCTTTGAGTTTTAACCAGTAGGGGAAGGTGACGTACCTTGATACCATTTTTGCAAATATGTTCAATAATATCACTGAAATGACATTTTGGTAATAAAACCGTTGCCATCGTATCTTTTGACTATTTTTTTACACTGTAATGATCTGGTTTGTAGAAATAAGTCTTAGGATAAAAAAATAATAATAAATGAAAAAAAGTGAAAAGTGGCTCAAGGTACAACATAAGGTTGTACCTTGATCCATCTGATAATGTACCTTGAGCGAAGATATAAAAACACCAATTACAAACTAAACATTTATTGTTTTAACTAATTCATAGCGTAGGAGCTAAAATCTACAGAAAATCTGTAATATGACTGCTGTCTAGCCGATCCTACCGTGGTCATTGGAGGTGGTAGTTTCAAAATGACGTCTTTTTCATCAACCACGTAAGATTGGGCTGAATTCTTTAGTAAAAATTTGTTTGTACCAGGAACTTTATCTAGGTAAGTGATATACATTTCGGGTTTTACTGTCAAAACCTTGGCTACATAATATTTGATGCTTTTTTTACCGCAGAGTTTGACCAATAGAAATTCACCTTCGCTAATACTTTCAGTCTCTAATTGCTGCTCGAGTTGTTGAGCATTTACCTCGTCAGTTAAACTAATATCGTCATCAGAATTGGACGAAAGCTCCATATCATCTGATTCGTCTGAACTGCTTTTTGCCCGTGCTGGTGCAGGTTTTTTCTTGAAAAATTTTCTCTTTACTGTCTCAACTTTTTGTTTTTTTAAATCTTTCATCCGTTTAACCTCTTCTAACTCTTCTTTTTCCGGAGTGTCGGTAAGGATGCGTGATTTACCTTTTGGTTTTCCTCTGTTTGCGGATTTTCGAGCAGCGGCCTTGGGAAATGGTTTCACAGCTTCAGGGGACACAAAGCTGGAAGTGAAAGAAGGCGACTGATCGTCGGTGTCCAGTTCGGCAGTAGTTCGGCTAAAGGAAGTGGATGGCCCAGCTTCAGCCTCGGTGTTGTCTTTAAGTGTTTCATCAATGTTGTTGGCTTCTGGAATGGGTCGGTCAGTGACCAAGGATGGAAGGAAGTCTTCTTCTCCAAAAATATCTTGATTTAAAGGAACAATTCCGGAAGCTCTGAAACCGCTTATAATGTTCTTTGGGACAAAACTCAGGGGGTAAGCCTTTCCTACCATTTCTGCGATTTCATAAATTGTCATAGGTTTTCCGGCATTTTCTGGACTTAACATCCAGTCATTAACAGCAGAATTATAAAATGTTTTAAAAGGGCCAAAGACGCCTAGGTCGAGCGGTTGCATCTTATGGCTTGTGTGTGGATGAAATGTGAGCAAAATTACACCAGCTTCTTTGCATTTAATTATGGCAGGGATGGAGACATGGCTCTCATGATTGTCCATTATCAAAATCACAGGGTCATCAGTAGAGGGCTTCAAATGTCTAATAAAATGATCCAAAAACTTGAGAAAGAGCTGCTCATTTGACCATCCTGAAGAATTCGCAGCTCCAATTGCACCAGGAGGAGCTCCTTTCATCATGAAATCTTTAAAATTCACTCTCGGAAAGATTAGCATCGGAGGCACACTATTGCCGATAGAACTGATGGCAGCAATCATAGTTACAAGAGTGCCCCTTTCACCAGATGTAATACTACCAATTTGCTTTACACCTTTTGGTGCCAACACTTTGGGTGGGACGTGGACGGTGGTAATCCCGGTTTCGTCGCAGTTCCATATTCGCTCTGAGGAAATCCCTCTTCTTTCCAATATTTTCTTGTAATTGTTGAAAAATCGAGTCACGCCTAACTTGTTAAAACCTGTTGATCTCCCAAGACTAGTTGCTTCCGGTTTACGTAATGACAATTCATTCTCGAATCTTTTTCTGAAACCTCTTAACCATGACTTTCCAGCAAGTTGCACTGCGTTCCACTTATCTGGATATTTTTTTTCATTTGCTTGGGCGTATTGGAATGCCAATGATCTAACTTCATACAAGGTTAGACCGTAATGCAACCGTGCTGCTTGCTTCAAGTAAGAAACAAGTTCTGCTTCTTCGTGTTTAGTAAAAATCCTATTTACATCATAGTGAACAATGTATTCAAAGTTCTCCTGATTGGATTCGCGAAATTTTTTAACATGCCTCATGAGGGTATGCCTCGACACATTGTGTACTTTAGCTGCTTCCCTGAATGACACTATGTTCTTCAAAATATCATCTACTGCCCTTTCCATATCAGTTTTCGAGACCAAAGGCCTTTTTAAACCTTGCTTACTACGTGGCATTATCTGAAATGAAGAATGTTATAATTAGGGTTGTTAGAACAGATCAGTGCGACTTAAATCAGCTGTAGATAGGCACAAGAAATCACTTGATCTTACCAAATTGTAAAAAAAAATGTTTAAAAGTGGCCTTACCACTAAAACATTTTTTTCTATTAGGAAATACTACTTAAAAATTACAGCCTAGCTGCCTCTAGTTACCTATACGAAAAAAATTATTTTAAATTCCGATTTTTATTCCCTCTAACATCCCTTAAAAAACAATCTTAAAAATTTAAGAGTAAGATTTACCTATAGGTAGGTACCTACATTAAACTAAATAAATGTATCTTAGTTGATTTTTTCTTAACTAAAAGTAAAACTATTTTTAATATGACAATGCGGGACATAAAAAATCATGAAAAGCACAAATCGGAAAGTTTAATAATACCTACCAGTTATTATTAGTGATAATATATTACAAATGTGATGTACCTTGCCCCGGTGCAAGGTACAACGCCAAGACTTGGCTCAAGGTACAACAAACGTAGTCTCCCCAAATAAATCGAGTTAATAATTTTTAGGTTAGGATATGCCGAATTGTAATATAACGGTTAGATAGCAAAGACCACATAAAATCTCTAAATACTATCTGAAACAAATCTACGGACCAATGAATATGTGATTAAAAAAATACGTACCTCCTCTTTATTTACTTTACTAGCACTAAAACAGTTTCACAAACAAATCTCACAAACCTCGCTTTCTGTTTATTTCATATGCAACTAAAACCATCTATGTGGAAGTAAAGGTACTATAACCCCAATGAAAGATGCTGTGCGACTAAAATAGGCGCGACAATTGAAACTGGCTCAAGGTACGAACCTGTGCAAGGTACGTCACCTTCCCCTACAAACCGAAATAATTTTAAATTTTTTTCTCTTGAACTTATAGCATAAGTTACGAATAAAAGCATTCGTAAGTATTATAAAAATTGCAAAATATTAGTATTCGTTAAATATAATTTAATATATTTTTCATATTTGTATAGAATAAAAAATTAAATCATCTTCTTTCTTTATTTATTTCAAGTTAAAAAGAAGACATCTTTCTGCAAAAACTTATCACATCATTACATCAGCAGACAGTAACAAAATCAAGAAAAATTTGTAAGGAAAACTAAGTATTTTCTCCACTTTTCTTTCACAGATAAGTCAGAAAACATGTAAATTAATATATTGTGAAACTTTTGTTAAATACATTATTTAAAAGACTGATTTACAGATTTTATTATTTTAGTAGCTTAATTGATATTCTTGGGACAATGAATTATTTTAGAAAATATATACCCATTATAGAAATATAATGCTGTAACCTAACTTTTTCTAATCAAACACTTTTTGAAATATACTGAAATATTGCAAATTCTATATTAAAAACAAAATTATCTCATGTAATAAATATTCCCACTTTGCATCAGGGCGGCTTTTGCAGAAGTGCAGTAGAGATGCAGAACTGCCAAAAAATGCAAGTATTTCATCTACATTTCACAGAAAATATTTAAGACATTCTAAAATATACGTAAAATGGATTTTATGGATAAAGTCATAATTTTAATTTAATTTTAATCATGAAATAGTAAATAGTGTGGGTGCACTGCACCGCTTGGGCCGCCCGCGCTCTTCGTCTCCTTTAGTTGTCTAGTAGTAGTCGTTTCGGTACGTCCGCAGGACATGTACCATGAAACATGATGCCCCACCCTTGGGAGGGGATGCCGCCGGAACCGCCGGCATATAAACCAAAGGTTTGTAATTTTAGCTTTTGTCCCTATAAAATGAAAAAGAGTGAACATTAGGGGTAGTCTGTGGCGAGAACTGATAGGTAATATAAGTAATCGATTACCAGCCCTAACGTTTCCGTATCAGAAGTATTTAGGACCCGGGAATAAAATGAATAGTTAGCCGTTAAATTTTGATGATTATATTGCTTTACAACGCCATTTTGGCTTATTTAAATGCAGAATCGCAACAAGACGTCAAGGTAACAGATTTATTGGCAATTCGAGATTTTTTTACAAACTTCATCGCCGATGGAAATACTCATGCATTAGCAGGTGTTCTTGGATTAAGTGTGAAACATATAGTAGAAAAATATATTTTTAAACAACTGTATCCGTTTATGGCACCAATCACTTCTACCGAAAGAACTACCCATCGAGGTCAAAAAAGGTACGCTAATATTCAACAGAAAATAAGTGAACAATACAAAAGACATAAAGCCTCAGGCGGTAAAACATCCTGGCAAGATTTTATGCGACAGTATTATGCAACGACAGACAAAGGATCGTCAACAACAACTACAAGGCCAACTACTAGTGGTGCACCTATAAAGGATCCGGTTTTGTAATCTCCCAGTTCAAGTGATCAAGGTAGCGATTTACGTTTAAATTTATCACCAGTCGACAGTATGGATGTTGATAATGATTTGCTTGAAGGTCAACAAGGTAGTGGAGCACGTGCAACTCTAGGTTCCAGTAATGTTGCAGCAAAAAATTTATCTGTTCCTAGAAGTTTAAAATTAAATGCTGTGACCTTTCATTTCAAGAAAAGTCGTATTTTTTATACTTATGGATACGCTTTTAAAAATGTAATAAAGAAGTGTGTTGAAGTAAACTTAGATAAAGGTGATCGAGTGTATTTAACTACGCCGTTAGCCAATATACCAAATGATATGCTTGGATTTTATATGAACGGACATGAATTAACGACAGTATGGAATTACGGCCAGGTTGAAATCAAACATTTGAAAGTTACTGTTACTCCACAGGGTTTAAGGACAGCATTCGATACTGGCACCACCCTCTCTGGAACAGCTACGAGTGAACATTGCACTTTGGGCTGTTATGCCGTTGGTTTAAATCAAAAAAATTATGCAACAGGTCATGTATATGAAAGTGATGTAGCTTCTCCGATGGTTCCAACAGGAGTAAGCAATCCCAAATTAGATAACATGCTCAAAAAATATTACGGAGATAAAAATCTTACTGAACATGGGCCCATGTGTATGAGTGTACCTAGACACGTAGATCTGAATGCTTGTTTAAGAATAAATTTAAATCGTTCTCTTCCACATTACATAGGAGTTTATCAGTTGGATCGCTATAAGCATCGTTTCAATTTTATACCAAAAATTGGAGAAACTATTATCAATTGGAAGTATACGCCTGCATTTGGATTCATATCTTGTAAAGGTCATGATATTCTGTATTGTCGAGATGAGTCAGATATTTGTTACACACAAAATATTATTGATAAAATGCCTGCTCAAATTACTACAGCCTTAACAAAAATGGAGTGTGTAAAGTGAAACCTGCAGTGAATACTCAAAATTTTGAAAGTGGTAATACTGGAGATTTATTAAAATTTAGTGTTGATGGCAGTAAAGTCTTTGCTGCACATTATTCTTCCCCAAAAGGTCCTAAAATGTGTGTTCCTAACATTTATTTTGGAATTTTACCAACACCAGCTTTGAATCCATCAAAGGATTCCACAGATTTTCAAAATACAGTAGCATATTTTGCGGTAGATCCAGAAATGGTTTTGAAGTGCGACTAATCATAAATATTTTGTACTGTATAATCAATAAATTGCATAGAAAACACAGTACAGTAGTTATTGTCGGATCAGAACGTCGAAAAAATTTAAATTTTGAATTTAACCAAACAGAACTATTTAATATATTTAATAAGGGGCTTGTCGGAAATTGCTTAAAGAATTCCAATAATTTTTCTTCTTTTGAATATTTTTATTTTTTTTAAACGATTTGCTGCTTTTGTAGATACCTGATCCACTAGAATATGGAGTGGGTCCACTTTCGATGCAGTTAGAAAATTTATTCTCACTGTCGCTGCTCTCCACCATTGATTTTTTTCCAAGTTGGAGATATCTTTCGTAGGGTGAATTTCCAATTTGACTAGGTATGATCCTTGTTCTCCCGGCGATTTCAATGTATAAAAAGTGTCGGGGCGGTTGAAGCAAATATTTTGTGAGATTGTAAAAGTATCGTTCGGAGAAATAATAGTTTCAATTATTGTCTTCTAGATTTTCTTTTAATTAGGAGACATTGGATTCTGGAACATCGACATTTTCCACTGGCATAGGAACAGTCGTGGACAATGTGGGCATGGTCTTCGTGAAAGACATACCAATATAATCCTCCTAAAAATTTTTTTCCCACCCTTCTTTCAAGAAAGTAAGTAGCTTGCTCTCTAGTGATGTTTGGCAAAACGTCATATAAAACTCGTTCTCCTTTAATAGAACTTTGAATTCCTCGAAGGTAATTGTTGATATTGCTAATGTCGTTTTCGTTTTCCTCAGTTTCGTTAAAATTGTTAAAAAAGTCTTTAAGAGACGTTTGCCGTTGAGGTACTCCTCCTTTTGGCAAACAATTACTGTCATCTCCAACAATTAAATTATAGTTTGAAGTAGAAGCCATTGCATCGGCCATATCAATTCTCGCGTAAATTCAGCAGACAATCCAGTTGACAACTTTCTTCCGTTACTGGACTCGCCGGTGGACTGTTCTTAATTTCTGACATCTTTCAATAAGATCTAAATAAAAATATAACGTTATATTCATTGTCATTAAACATTTAAACACTTAATATACTAGACCAATAGTGCATGCCTATATTTAAATCTTTCATTCCGAACATAGGGCATGCTTCATAATTGATTGAATCCCTTTTACAAATAAAACAATGGATATGATAATTATTATGTCTATGAATAAAATCACACTGCAAATTATCAAAAGATTGACATAATTTTAGAACTATGTTATTTTCAAAAGATGCATTATAACAATCAACACATAATATTAATTGGGGTTTTTCCTGAGGAGTTAATTCCCTTGTGACATAAAACTGATATCACTGACTACAGCTAAAGTCATCATCCCCGCAAGTAAAATGATCCAGTAAATCCTGGTGCGGGAATGACCATGGAAAAGAAGACTCCTGGTCCATCATAAGTCAGTATGGTTGTTAAGTTGTACTCTTTTTGAAAGGGTAAAGGCAATAATACTTTATGGAACAGAATTTTGAAGGTCTGCATAGCACATCTCGGTAAATTAAATGTAGTTTTCTTTGGTGAAGTTAATTCGTTGAGAAGACCTAAAACAAAAAATTACTTACTTCCAATTCTTGAATTAAATCAAACTCACACTCACTTTGATCTGCAGACGAAGATACAATAGTATTGAAATTCATTATGGTGGTTACTTGTAAGCGAACAACTTTATAATGCCGGTAAAACAAACCGTAGTTTACGAAATATCCGTGGTGGTCCGTCACTCCTCCTGGTTCATCTCTCCTATCTTTACCCTACTTAGAATAAAATTGTACATGCTGCTGCACATAGGCGAAAATGCGCAAATTGATACATTTGTGACTTTAGCATTGGACCGACGATATATTGTAAATTTGTTAAATGAGACATCGTACACTTTTATATATTCTGTGCTGATACTATTTTTTTATATTTTTGATTTTCTTAGCTACTTTAATAATATGTATTCCGGACATGTATCCCTATTTCTTTATTTTTTGTCTTATGTCCTAGAAGATCATTTTTAGATCTTCCTCATCTCTCGACTTCAAACGGATTTGCCGCTGCTTCGGGATATAGGGGGCAATCGCTCATTACTACTCTTCCTTTTGTATATATCCCGAAGAGTTTCTCTTCTGCTATTAATGCTTGCATGTGGTGTTTTAAATATATAAATATGTCATCTACAGATACATTACTTTTGTCTTGAGAATGCGCTGTTTATAGTCTTTTATAAAAGACTCTACATCTACATTAGTAACTCAGAAAATAAAGGTGTCTACAAGTTTGAACATAACTGCAGACCACAGAAGACAGTATGGAAGATACATAATTAATAAGTGAATAGCAAAATTTTCACTATAATTTTTATTTGTGATTTCTACAATATCCTGTTATTTTTTTTATATTTTTGGTTTCTATTTTGAAGATTGTTCCAAACTCCCAATAAAATGACGAAGTGGTATAAATGGCGGGACTACTTAAAATTCATAGGCCTCTTCCGCTTGTATATAATCTTGATTGTTAATCGTGTCTGTAGATATTGATGCAGCATAATTAATAGATCAAACGAACTTACCTGTTGAAGTAAAAAAAAAGAATAATATGTAGAATCCTCGCTATGCCTCGTTGAGTCTCACACATTTTAAAGCAAATAAACTCTGCTTTCCTCCTATCTATCTATCTGAATTAAGGCGTGGTTCAAAGCCCACTTGTACTGAAGCTCTAGGCTTATTGTACCCCTCACAGTTTCTATCCCATCAGATTGATTTTCTTGATGAATTCAAGAATATGTCTGATGGGCGCTTTCGCGATTTCTACAGGTTCCGGATATTGTACCCCGAAGTACCATTCCCGTTCCCATTTTAGGTTCCGGCAGTGGCATAGTATGTGAATGGGAGTTTCGTCCTCTTGTAATAATTCTAGGTTCTTTTCCTTAATTTTAGCATTTGTAGAATAAAACATTTGATTAAGTTTATACCAGCCCTTTATTACATAATAAAATTATATACCTTTTTTACATGTGTATTATAAGGTTAATTAAATACTACTCAATAACTAACAGTCAAATATCGCTTCAATAGATCATTTGCTAGCTAAACAGAATTGGACACAATGAACTTTATAATTAATGACATTGCATTATTTGTATTGGATAACAACTAATTATTATTTTAATAAAATGTAAAATATAATGAAATAACCTATTGAAGTTCATCGAACTGATATTCCTTTATTACACCTCCCTGGGGGACGAGAAAAATTTTTAGAATAACTTTCTAAAAATTTTTATCTTTATTAAGTAATAATTAAAACCAAGTCTCCTATACTAAAATTAACGTTACTAATACTAGGTTTACAATTATCATATCTTAACTTTTCTACTCAATTTAGACTTTTCCAAATTTTCTTTGGCTTCGGCACTAGCTTGTTGTAATCTGAATTTTAATTCTAATGGATAATTATCGAATGAATACAAAGGATCAATTTTTTCTGTTATATTTGAAGGTAAATTAGCGGCTTTTCCGAATAGTAATTCAAATGGAGTATATTTGGTTTCCGTATGAACAGTAGTATTATAAAAGAAACACCAAAAAGGAAGCCAACTGCTCCAACTATTGTTGTACTTAGAAACTTGCATTCTCAAATAAGCTCCTAAATGTTTATGTGAGTTTTCAATACTTCCTAAAGTCTGATGATGATAAGCAGTAGAATTAAGGTGACTAATATTTAAAATTTTACATGTATCGTTAAAAACTAATGACATGAATTCCGTTCCCTGATCTGTTACAATTTCTTTAGGTATTCCATATCTTAAAAAAAAATTATTCACTAAAGAATTTGCAACTGTAACTGTTTCTTTGTTTTTAATAGGGTAGGCTTCAACAAATTTAGATAGATCACATTGAATAGTTAATACGTACTTATTATCATCCATATCGGGATCCAAAGGACCCATTAAATCCAAAAATATTTTCTCAAAAGCTGTGGAAGCCGTTGTTGTAAGAGTTAAAGGTTGTATTTTCGGAATTGAATGTTTATATCATTGACATTGGTCACAACGACGTACAAATGATGAATATCTATAAACAAACCTTTCCAATAGTTAAATTTCTTAATATTATTAAACATTCGATTGACTCCTGCATGTCCTCCTGTATGTAGTAAGTGAAAATCGTTCAAAATGAGTTGTTTTATTTCATAATTATCGATAGTTCTAACATCTTTTATAATTGTTAGTTTTATATTGTCACATGTCAGTATGTATGAAAGTTTAAGTATTTCATTTATTTTATTTAATGCGCATGTTTTCTTTATTATTAATAATTCACTAATATTATGTTTCTTGCAAATTTTTTGGAGATCTTTTAACGCTGACCGAAGTTCAGACGTTGAGTAAGTATCATCCATTTTATAATAAATTATTTGCAACGTTGCATCAATAATAAAGTCGTTAAAAATCATAAAATTATTTTTATTTTCGTGAGTTAATTTCAAAAATTCTTTGGTTGCAACCGGTCGTAATTCAGTTATATTTTTAGGTTTCTTTAACAATTCAACAACGCCAGGATGGCCAATCCTAGTATCAGTTACTGAATCGTTCGTAGTTGGGTTTTTGATTTTATTAGCTAAATCATTTTGAAGTTTAGTTCGAGCTCGGGTCATAATACACATTTTAGAATGTGTTGAATTAGCTAATTCGTTTAGGTCGCTAGCTGGGATTTCTACACGTGATAATGCATCAGCGACATTTGATTT